AGTTTTTAAGTTGCCTTTAAAACAACATTCAATAAAATACACCATTTAACAATTCAAATAGATCTTATTATTCATAAAGATGACTTTATGTATGTATTCATTCATTCATTTATATTATTTTAAAAATTTTTTGCTATAGAGCACATGTGTTTGCCAGAAACAGAGACAGAAAGAAAGAGAGAAAGTGAGAAAGCATCCCCCCTACCCCTGGGAGGATAGCCATGCTGTAATCCCCTCTCCTCATTCTCCTCTCGGGATTTTAGGTACCCCCCCGCCCCCCACACACACATATCCGGTATGCTTTTCAAGTCATGAAGTCTGGGACTTGAACCATGCAGATGGCCATGTGGGAGCCAGCCACCTTAATTGCCATGGCACCTGCTGGCCCCTATATTTTTATAATTTGGATAAATTACTCCACCTATCAGAGCAATAGTTTGAATTAACTGGTCATGCCAATGTTCAACGTCAACTAACAAACAAATAGATTGAAAATAGAATCAAGGAAAATAAATCTGTTGTAAAATATTTTAAACTGATTTAGCTTAACCTTGCTTGGGAATGGTGAGTGTGTGTGCGACGTGCACGTACACTAACACTCGCAAGCCAAACTCCTCTAAATTTCATCATTTAAGGTGAGTGCCAGTCCAGCAATATTGCATCAATGCCCATCATGATATTTACGTAGAAACAAAGAAACACTAGTATAGATACCCTTTATATCACTCATCAGAAAAGTCCAATGCAACTATAATAATATAAAATTGTAAAGCTATATGAACTATATTTGAGTGCAAATATATTTCTGTTGCATTATATTAATAATTTAAGAATTGAGGTTTTCAGGGCAAGAAGAGATATATACCACTAATATAGGTTAGGGAGAAACGTTGTACTGTTAAAATAGAATCAATGTATCAATATGACAAATTCATGACTTAAGAACAATTTTTATAACTCTGTCCAGGAAAAGAGCCTAGAAAAGGTATAATGAGCATTCTCAACTCTCATATTTTGTTCTCTAACACTCATTAAAAAACCCCAAAAAAAACAAGACTGGGGCCAGCAGGTGGAGTAGTGGTTGGGATGCTGGACTCCACGTTGGCCAACCAGGTTTGAGTCCTGGACCAGTGGGTTGAAAATCACACTGGGCATGTGTGCATACATGCCCAAAATCCCAAGAGGAGAATGGAGGAAAAGGAACTGCAGCATGGCCATCCCCCCATGGGGTGATTTCTCACTTTCCTTTTCTCCAGCAAGTGCATGAGCCCTATGGCAAAGAACTAAAAATAAAATAAAATAAAAAGCAGCAGGACTTCTTGGGGAAATGGCTGATGCTAGAACTGGAGCACAGAGGTATAAGGTGAGCTTAGGATATCACCTTGGGCCAGAAAAAATGAAAACTTTCAAAGGTTAATGCTTTTCTGTCAATGGAACAGAAAGGATCCAGTTCAAAATATCTCTCATTGGCCAAAGGCGTGTCAATTTAAACATCCAAAAGCACAATGACTACTACGTGCAATAATGTGGGTGACCCTCACGAAAAGACACAAAAAGGGTACACCCCATATGCCCTTTGTGTTTTAAGTTCAAGAATAGTACCTGTGGTGATTGAGTCAGAAAAATAGTTACAAGGTGGAGAGGGGGCAGAAAGAAATTTGGCAAAAAGAGGTCTTTTGAGCTGCTGGAAATACAGATGTAAAAAATACATCAAGTGGGCCAGCTGGTGGCGGGATGGTTGGGGCAGCTGGATCCCACATGGCCAACTGTGCAGTTCAAGTGCTAAACTCATTGGCCTGAAAGACAGCTAGGTGCATGTGCATGCCCAAAATCCCAAAAGGAGGGAGAAATGAAGGAAAAGGGATTGTGGTGTGGTCATCCCTCACGGGGTGGGGGTTGTGCTTTCTCACTTTCCCTCTCTGTTTCTCTTTTCGTGTTTCTTCAGCGACCGTACATGCCCTGTAGAAAAAAAACAAAAAATCAAGTTTTAACTTAAGATATATGTACTTTATTACTTATACTTCACTAAAAGTACTGACTGAAATATAGAAAAGCAATAAAAATCTAAAATAAACATAATAATATTCAAGACAAAGTCAGAAACTCATTTGTTACCATTTAAGGTGAATTTTAATTCAACTTCTTACCTTGACAACTGGTAATTAAAGGAAAAGAGTTAAACACTTATTGGAGGAACTGTACTTTTCGAGGTACTTAAATGGCCTTGGTTAATGAGGAAGAATGTTCCTTTATAAGGGAATGTCAAAAGAATGATTTTTAAAAACCATTTTACAAATTCTAACAAAATTATTGATTCAGGTGAAAAATGATCAATTGGGGTAAAAATCACTAGGTGAATGGCTGGTGGATAAATTTACTTTTGTATAAGTGCCAAAATGATACCACATAGATTACTGCCTAGTGAAAAAGGAAAAAAACAACTGTATCGTGGAGGGGTCAAATAGTTATCATCTAAACTATGGTCAAGCTTCACATCACCAATGGTGGGTCAGCCAAGAATCATGGGTCTCATAATGGAATTCTGCAATAGCTGATTATAAGTTTGTTTGTTTGTTTGTTTGTTTTTTGGTTAAGAATGATTTATCTAATTTTATTTATTATTTTTTATTATTTCTAAAATTTGCTATAGGACACATGCACTCACCAGAGAGAGACAAAGAGAGAGAGAGAAAGCTGCCAGGTCCAGGACTCGAACCACGGTCAGCCATGTGGGAGTCCAGCGCCCTAACCACCATACCACTTGCTGGCCCTTCATTGAGTCTTTAGACCAACTGCCAGTTTACAGGAAATACAAAGGATGGGAACAAACTAAATATATCAAAGAAGAAATCAAACAAATGAAGGTGAGACTTTGCATAGGACAACTTGTCATGGTCTTCCAATGTACTAGATTAAAAACAACTTATGGGACCAGCAGATGGCATAATAGTTACGTTGCTGGACTCCCACACAGTCAACTACGGTTCGAATCCTGGACTCGTCAGCTTAAACTCATGCTGGATGCTTGTGCATGCGTGCCTAAGATCCCAAGAGGAAAATGGAGCAGAAGGGATTGTGGCGTGGCCATACCCCTGGGGGGTGATTTCTAGCTTTCTGTCTCTCTGTCTCTGCCTTTCTGGTGAGCGCACATGTCCTATAGCAAAAACCTCTCTTGAAAGAAAAAAGAAAAAGAAAGAAAGAAAAAGAAAAACAATTTGAGTCTACCCAGATGAGTTATGTGTTCTGGAATGGATTCCAGTTTGGAAAAATCAGGGAAATTTTAATGACATGGAAGATTCTTGATACAGAAACGTAGAGGTGATTAAAGGAAACAGAACAGGTTATATAATAGTATAATGAGTATGATCTCATTTGGGGAAAAATACATGTAAGTAGCAAAATATCTGGAAAAAAACACACAAAGCTGTCACAGTGGAAATCTCTGGACGGTGGGATATGTGGTTTCTCCTTTCTTTATCCCACTTATTTATGCTAACTTTAAAAAAGAATGATTTTATTTAACTTTATTTAATTATTTAAACTTGACCAGAGAGGGACAGAGTGAGTGAGAGACAGAGAGAGAAAGAGAGAGAGAGAGAGAACATGAAAAAGCAAGCCACAAGGTCCAGAGCAGGAAAAAAAAAAAAAAAAAAAGCCACAAGGTCCAGGACTCGAACCGCAGTCAGCCATGTGGGAGTCCAGCACCCCCAACCACCATGCTACCTGCTGGCTATACTACTTTTTATAATGCAAATATACTGCTTTTCTATTAATGAGAGTTTATTTTTCTTTAATTTGCTGTAGGGCATGTACACTTGCTAGACAAAGAAACAGAGAGAGAAGTGAGAAAGCATTCCCCAGAGAGATGGCCATGCCTCAATCCCGCCTCTTCCATTCTCCTCTCAGGATTTTGGGCATGCACCCATACACACCCAGTGTGTTCTTCAGGCTGCTGGGCCCGGGATTCGAACCACAAAGTCAGCCATGTGGGATCCAGCTCTTTAACTACCACATCACCAGCTGGCCCCAATGCTCTTGCTTTGTAAGGTTTAATAATATTCCAGTGCATGTTGTTTATCTTGATTGATAATTTTAACTTCTTTACATTTCTATTTCAACCCACAAAATTTCTTTAAACATTCCTTGGTCTATCTCTAAGAATGACGATAAACTGCAAATGTAATCGCTTTTTAAATAAAATCCATGGCAGGACAAATCTCACTGCTAATACCTCTACAGTGCAGGGATCCCTAGACAGCAGAACCTCTATTTGAATAGCTACTCTGGACACCCAATTCTTGCCAGCCTTCTGCCTGAGGTGAGAAGTCTGCTCCATTTCTTTCGGTAGGGATCACTGCTTTTCCAGTGATAAAACTAGAAAGGAAAATTGGCTGAAATCAGCCAATAGTCAGGCTGGTACATTCTGGGGACAAATGAGATACTTTAATGGAAATCAAAGGGGTACATTAAGCTGGGCATGATGGTGCACATTTGTAATCCCAGCTACATGGGAGGCTGAGACAGGAAGACCTTGAGTTTGAGGTTGGTCTGGGCAAAATAGGGAAAGTACTTTTAAAAACAACAGGGACCAGCAGATGGCATAATGGTTATGTTGCTGGAGTCCCATGTAGTCAATCTCAGTTCAAGTTTTGAACCTGGTGCCTTAAAACTCATGCTAGGTATATGTGCTTGTGTGCCCCAAATCCTAAGAGGAGATTGCAGCATGGCCATTCCCCTTGTGGGGGTAATAATGCCTTGCTTCCTATCTGTCTGTCTCCCTCTGTCTCTCTGGCAAGCACATGCGCCCTACAGCAAGAAAAGAGAGAATCTCTCATTAAAAACCAACAACAAAAGTGGTACGTTACTGTTTAGCCTTGTATTTCGAGGCATCTCTGGGCTCACTGCTGGGATTGCTCCAATCGTCAGCTTCAGGCGTGGTCTTGTAATGGCGCCATGCAGACTTATTAAAAACTGGAAGTCTCTCAAATGATTCGCTTGAAAGAGCCTATTGGACAAACAAAAATATACACCAATACACCAAAGGTCTACGGTGTCATTTTTCTCACATGAAAAACTAAGTGTTTAAAACATCAGAAACCTAATGCATATATTTTTCTCCTAAGTGCATAGTTTTGAAATTCTATTAAAATGAGATATTAGTAGCTTACTTAAGATCAGGCAGGAAAAATTAAAACTTCTTCTTTTATTGTTTTAACTTTTTGATTCAACTGTACATAATTACGAGGTACAACGTGGTATTGTGTAACATGTATTCATCGTGTAATGATTAAATCAGGGTAGTCAACAGATCCATTACTTTAAACACTTATCATTTTAAAGCTCTTTTAAAGGAATGAAGAGACATTCACTCATTCAAAATCAGTATTGAAGTATATAGAACCAGAACAAAATCATTTTAATTCAGTTAATATTGCTTTGAGATATTCAACTGTTGTGACTATATGTTCTTAGACCAAGCACTACTGCTCACCAGGTAACTGCACTCCCAAATGGCCCAGGAAGAAATTAAGTCTCATATGCTAGATTTATAGATATCACGTGACATCAAATATCACATCATTTAGATGCACTTGTCTCTAAGATAATACCCCAAATAACTGCTTAAGTTATGGGATCACATAGAAGTAACAGACCATGCCACTGTTAAAAAGAATAAGCCAGTTCTTCGAGACCAGCAGGCGGCGTGGTGGTTAAGGTATTGGACACTCTCACACGGCCAACCACAGTTCAAGTCCTGGACCTGGTGGCTTGCTTTCTCACTCCCCTCAACCCCCATTATGTCTCTCTCTAGTCAAATTAAAACAAATGAATGAATAAATAAAATGAAATAAAGAATTAAAAAAAATAAGCCAGTTTTGTATGAACTGATATGTAAAGATCTTCAAGCTATATGGGAAAGGGAAAAAAAGAGAGAGAATGGTGCTGAAATTTCATTTATGTGGGAGAAAATTAGATTTTCTGGCATATATTTATAACTGCAGAACCAATGCTAGGAGGATTCCTGAGCAACAGGGATCTGTGATTAACCCTAGGGCAGAAAAGTGGTGGCTCAGGGCCAGGGGTGGGAAAGACTATTTTTCCTTTTGTAGCTTTTATCATAAGCCTATATCAACTATTCAAAAAGTACTCCAAATAGTCTAGAGATTAGAAATTAAAGTCAAACAGCACCAGTGAATGACAAAAACTGTGTTATGGAGAACTTTATTAGATAATAACCTTTTATATAACTGTATTATGACTATTCAATTATCATAACTTTGAGACAGTCAGTGAGTTGTTAAGGCAAAAGACTAAAAGCCTTCAGTTTATGAAAATCTGTCTCTTTTTAGATCAGATCTTACAATAAACATGCAATTTTTAAAAATTACTGTTTAGAATCTGTGGTTTGAAAATTCAATATTTTTGGCCATAGAGTACAGGGAGTCAGTATATATTAAGTGAGACATACAGTGTCTCTCCTTCATAGCCTGGCTTGTTTCACTCAGCAGTAAGAGAAATGTATTTATGTTAGAACATTCATTTTACAAGCTAAGAGACATATGTATAAAAGAAATTAAAATTAAAAAAAGAACACACACACACAAATTCGATATTTTATGTTTGTATCACCATGTGTTGTATTTTGCTATATCTGAACATAAATCCAATGATGAAGCACAACATGGTTTCCACGTGAAACTGGAGTCTGAGTTGAATGTCAGAGATCATACAGTGCTATTCTTAATTAGTGATTAAAACTAATAGCTTTAAAAGTAAAGATGCCTTCATACTAACAGATAAAATACAGTACCTTCAAATAAATGACAGCGTCGGTACCTACTCCTTCCATGGAATATAGTTTTAGATCACCCTGAAAATATCTAGCATACAGACGAGAAATTGGCAAGCCATAACCAAATCCAGCCTATTAAGAAAAGAAAAGTAATACAGTAAGACAGGCCTCGATGCTAGCATGTTTCATAGGAGGATCATTCAGAAAAGATTAAAATAAATTCTTGATTCAAATTTAAATCAAATAAACTCTTTTTTAAAAAAGGTTTTTTTGCTATGGGGTGAGGGTGCTTGCTGGAGAGACAGAGGAAAAGTGAGAAATCATCCCTCAGTGGGGATGACCATGCTACAATCCCTTCTCTTCCGTTCTCCTCCTGGGATTTGGGGCACGCACGCACAGGTGCCCAAGTGTGATTTTCAAGTCATCAGGTCTGGAACTCGAACCATAGTCAGCCATGTGACTATGGTTATATTAACCATTATATCACTTGCTGGCCCCCAAGTCAATAAATTCTTGATTCAACCTTTTCAGTGATGTATAAGCTCATCTATAGCAAATGATCTCCTTATCTTTCACCCATATGTTTGGATGATAAGAGCAATGTTCCAATTTTTGGCTAATGCTTTTTAAAAACACTTTAAAACAAATTACTAGCACTCTTTTAAAAAGTAAATCTTAAATTGAGTGAAATTTTATCTGATAACAAAACCAAACCACATCATTTTGGAGTTCCATTACCAGATTTCCTCGCCCTTTGAAGAGAAAATTAATAGCACAGAAGTTCAAATCTACCAGTGACAAGGTTAAAACACTGGAAAGAAAATAATTTTCTCAGAGGCTACTTCTTAAGGTCCTTGGGATGCTACACTATTTTGATATATTATAGTTCACATATTTTTAGAGACAAGAAAAAAAATTACAGTACCCTCCTATATTGCTTTGTCATTGAACACTGTTAATAACGAGCTGTTTCTTTTACAAAGGGAGAGAGGGTGGGGACCAGTAGATGGCACAATGGTCACGTCACTTGACTCCTATGTAGTCGATAATAGTTCAAGTCCTAGATTTGGAGGCTTAAAGCTCACATCAGGCATGTGTGCGTGAGTGCCCAAAATCCTGAGAGAAGAATGGAGGAGAAGGGATGGCAGCATGACATCCCCTCTGGGGGAGAGGGGTGATTAATCACTTTCTGTCTCTGTCTCTCTGATGAGCTCATGTGTCCTACAGTAAAAATATCTCACAGGAACCAGCAGTTAGCGTAATGGCTATGTCGCTGGACTCCCACGTAGTCGACCGCGGTTCGCATCCCGGACCCGGTGGCTTAAAACTCATGCGGGGCGCGTGTGCATGCGTGCCCAAGATCCTGAGAAGAGAATGGAGGAGAAGGGATTGCGGCGTGACCATCCCCCCTGGGGGGTGATTTCTCGCTTTCTGTCTCTCTGTCTCTCTCTGTCTGTCTGGTGAGCGCACATGCCCTATAGCGAAAAACCTCTCAAAAAATAAAAAATCTCACAAAAAAAAGGGAGAGAGGGTGGATGGTGATGTAGCAGTAAAATGTGATATTCTGGAAGGCTGACTCATATGAGGTAGTTCTGGTTCATGTCTGAAGAATTCCATGAATGCACTGGGCACATGTGTGCCCATGATTCAGGACGGGCTAAGGCTGGAAGTAGATCAGAGTGCTAAGATCCTGCTGAGGACACTCTCTGTCTCTCTGTCTCTCTCTCTTGCTCATGGAAGAAATAAGTAAACTTTTCCTAAAAAAAGGTCTCATGGGCCAGCATATGGCATGGAGGTTAAGTTAGCTGGATTCCACTTGGCCAACTCCACAGGTGGAGTCCCAGACCTAGCAGCTTGAAAATTGCACCAGGCATATGTGTGTGCGTGTCCAAAATCCCGAGAATGGAGGAGAAGGGATTGTGGTGTGGCCATCTCCCCAGGGGGTGATTTCTTACTTTCCCTCTGTCTGTCTGTCTCTGGCAAGTACACATGCCCTATAGCAAATTGAAGGGGGAAAAAACAGTCTCAGATATCAATCAGAACAATAAGAAAACAATAAAGATAATTGAGATAAAATTAAAAAACTTTTGAGGTGGTAGTGGAGTGGGGCAGAGATGCTATATCACCAAGCTTCATCACCTCTGCTCAAATCCGTGAACAAGGTTAAGGAGGGAGGGAGTATATACACATGTGGTCGTAGTAGTATGTGCTTTAGATTCAGACCTAGGTTGAAATTCAGTTTTTGTGTGACTCTGAGCAGTTTACTTGAGATTTTGAGCATGCACACACATGCCCAGCATGTTTTTCAAGTCACTGGGCCTGGGAATCAACCCACAGAGTTGGCCATGTGGGATCCAGGTGTCTTAACCATCACACCACCAGCTGGCTTCATAGTCTATATCCCTTTTAAACAACTGGGGAAGGAGCTAGATTTGTGGGTAGTGCCTTTTCTCCTTTTGACATTGATTTAAGCAGGTACCAGAACCTAGTCAGTAATACCTTTCAAAACTGATCCTTCACAAATGTTCTTGAATCCTATATAAATGACTTCCTCTCTGTTTTCAACACGCTGAGTTAACAAACTGTCTTGAGTAAATGATGCAAAGTGTTTGATTTTATTCTTACAAATAAAATATAATCTTACATGCTTATCAGTCAGGTAGGACTTTATCATGAAACTTAATTTATACTCTGAACTTAGAACCATTTTACAGACTGATAGATATGTTGCTGTGTTTAATGACAAAGGGTTCAATTGTTGTTTGTCAATTAGAAACACTCAGTAGGGGAAGAAGAGAGTGTGGCCCTACCAGGATCTCAGTGCTACCATGGTAACCAGAGGCTTTTCTCACTGCCTTCCCAGGGCTGAAGGTTATTTCCACAGTAAGACAGAAAGGGCTCTGAAAATGCATACACATCCTATATGTTTTGTGCTTATGTTAGTCAATGTAAAGAATTTAATGTTTTTATAATTTAACTGTCTAATTAAATAGTTTATTTATTTTTTTGCCATAGAGCATGAGCACTCCGGAGAGAGACAGAGACAGACAGAAAAAAGGGAAAGTGGGAAATTACCCCCCAGCGGGATGACTACACTACAATCCCTTCTCCTCCATTCTCCTCTTGGGATTTTGGGCATGCACACCTATGTCCAAAATTACACACGGTGTGATTTTCAAGTCACTGGGTCTAGGACTCGAACCATGGTCAGCCATGTGGGATCCAGCACCTTAACCACCATGCCACCTGCTGGCCCCAATTATATAAACAAATTTGATCGTAGTGATTCAAAGGCTCAGGGTGAGTTGGGCCTCTATGGTACATAGCCACAAAAGATCCAGGAATGAGCTGTAGCCAACACCCTGTGTTGGTTCTTTGCTCACCCACTGGTAACTTCCACCCTCTCCAGGGTACTGCTAGGTGGTACATGGGGCCAGTAGCAGTCTTACCACAGTGAGGTGCATTTTTCTCTGTATTTGGGGATGAAACATTCAGCTTGGAGTGCCTCTTGCACATAAATTAGGGGGAAAAAAATCTAAGTCCAAAGGATTCAGAGAGAACATTGTCAAGGCAAAAAAATTCTCCCTCCTCCAAGTCATACAGGCAATATTCTAAATCAAAGAGGTTAGTGCAACAATGTGGGGAGACAGATAGTCCCTCCCCGCATTAAAGATCCTCCTTCTTCTGTAATGTCAGGAATTTTTCAAAAAAAAAAAAATGATGAACTGGAAAAAATAAAAAAAAAAAGATCCTCTTTCAGCAGCAGTTTCAGATGCTTACCAAAGGGGCAGCTCTTGAAGGCTCCAGGCTAGGTCTGGGAGCAGTTGAATACATGTAGTTAAAAAGACGATCTATTTTTCGAAGTGGGACACCACCACCTTGGTCACTTATCTGCAGTGCACAAAATGTTACAAAAGAAAACAAAGAAGTCAATTTATATGTAGTGGGAAGAGATGAGTTCATTTAATAAAAAACATATCAGATTACTCTAAAACACACAAGGGCTTTGAACCCCCAATGAAATATTGTTTCCTTGTGAACAGTATCAAACAAAGGAGGCAGGGTAGTGTGGTAGGGTCTGAAAGGCTTGGGTTTGAGGTCTCGGTCAGCTTCCTGAATGATGGGGTTCTAATGAACTTTAGACGGAGTAACTTAAGGCATGGATCTAGCACAGCACTGACAAATAAGATAATTGATAAATGTTATTAGGTTGTCTGGAAATTTTACATAGAAAAATATGCCATGACTTTCCCGACAACCTAAGAGCTTTCTTCATTTCCCTCTCACGTCTCAGTGTCTAGGTATTCTAAAATCAACTAACAATTCAAGTCTACACACAAATAAAGCAGTTACCTTGATGGATAAGTCTTCTTTACCCAAAGTAACGAGGGTTTTAACAGCTGGGTAGCCCTCTTTTCTATCTTCATGTAGTTCAACTGTCGCTCTCATGGAGTTCTAAAATAACAAGGTCCTTTTTTTTAAGCTATCCTGCTGACTCACAAACCACAATTTTAAAGAAGAAATAAGCACAAGATTACTTATACGCAACAATTCCTTTGTGGGGTAAATATCCGTTGGATTTATATGGCATTTCTTCCTTCTAAAGAGCTTAGCTACACATTTATTTGGATCAAGGAAAAATTTACTAACACTTTATTTTGTTTTTCTTCTAGTTTTAGCCCTATCTAACATGCAACGTAGTTTTCTTTTAGAAGTACTTTATTTAATTTTACTTATTATTATTATTATTTAGTTTGACTAGAGAAAAAGAGAGAGAGAGAGAGAGAATGAGAATGAGAAAGCAAGCCCCCAGGTCCTGGACTCACAGAGGGCCATGTGAGAGTCCAGCATCCCAACCACCATGCCACCTGCTGTCCCCACTATGTAATTTTCTTTCCTTCCTTCCCTCTTTTTTTTGTTTTCTGTTTTTGCTTTAGGGTATTTAAATTATTCAACTCAACTCAGAGGAATATTTTTTAATAATTATTTAATTTTACTTATTGCTACTATTTTGTAATTTGTTATAAGGCACATGCACTCACCAGAGAGAGACGGGGGAGGGGGAGTAAAAAAAACAAGTCACCAGGTCTAGGACTCGAACCACAGTTGGCCATATAGGAGTCCAGCACCTTAACCACCATGCCACCTGTTGGCCCCCAGATGAATGTTTTTATCACATGTAATGAGGATTACAGAGGCTGATTTGTACATGTTAAATCCTATTTATCAGTCTGAATTTATAGAGCACCTTTCCTCTAAAGAAGGCAGAAAAACTCAAAGAATTCATGCTTCCCACAAAAATTAATCATCTGGCTGAGAAAAAAGAAAAGTAGAGGAAATACTTGTTGAAGAGAAATTCTGTAAAAGCCACAGCTGTTGAAGAGAAAGTTCACAACTGAATGCCCATCCCACCTTAAAGGGTTACATCAGTAACATTCTAATTTTTGGAAGCAAATCTGCATAACTGATTTTTCAGGTGTTCAACGCAGTGTTTTATACATCGGAAGAAATACAATTTTAGCTCAAATGTCTTGTGCCTATAACACTGCCTCTGTACATGCCATTACCTACTGGTTAACAAAAGCAACAGTTTAAGCCACAGGGAATCTAAAGAGGTTTGGGGGAGTTGTTTTGTTTTGTTTGATGTTTTGGTCCCTTTTGGTCTAGCGTGTCTACTTTTTCTCCCTCTGCCTTTGGCAGATCTTCTGATAGGGGATAAACAAAATAAAAGGATTAGAGTCCCTCAGGACTGGAACAGCTACTAAAGCATCAACATGATGAATGTTCAAAACCATAAATATGTATAAACATGTTTTTATTTTGATCTGGCTACAACCTTTGCCAGGTTTGGAAACTAAAAAAGCATCTCTAATCTCATAACTGAAGGAAAAACAGTATGGATTTTATATAAAATCACTAAAGTACAATTAAGTTTCAAAACCAGTATGTACTAATATTCATGAAAACTATACTGTACACAGCAGTTTTTCATCGCACAGTGTACAAATTATAAAACCCACAGGATATCAGAAATAGAATTTTAAAAATGGTTATGCAAAATCTTTTTCTTATGCTAATCTAATGAATCCATTATGCCTTGAATCGAAGTAATTTAAAATGAAGACTTCTTTCCATGTTTTTAAATTCCACTTACCTTGAACAACTCAAATAGCATGTGAAACAGATGTGAGGGCACATAAACTACCTGAATAGGCTTGTCTGGTGCTTTGGCTATAAACAGAGACAAAACAGGCAATGAATAAGGACCCAAACTAGTAGAAAGTCAAGAATACTGTTTTCTTTCAATTTTCTAAGCATATAAAGCAGAACTCTATAAAAGGCGAATTTAGGTTCCCACCTCTAAAGGCAGGGCTGAGCAAAAGCAAATGCTTGAGAATCAAACAAACCTGGGTGAAGCCCAGTTCCTTCACGTTACAGCCATGTGACCTTGGTCAGATCACTCAATCTCTCTGAAATGGAGCTGGGCAAAATTAGAATACGATCACCTGTGTCATAACGTTCTCAGCAGCATTACATGAAGTCATCTAAGGATCACTGGGTGTTTTTCAAATTGGAGGACACCCCTGCCCCTGACTCTAGTGGTCATCTAGGGCAATGTCAAGTCCCACAAGAAAAGGGGCTGGTGAACTGGACTAAACAGGAGTGTTAAATTTTGTTAAATTGGATCTAAATGGATACATAGCACTAACACACTGGACCCACATGAGAAGGTCCTGAGTTTGTATGCCAGGGCCGCGTATGTATACACTGGGCATGTGTGTGTGTGCCTGTAATCCAGGTTGGCTGACACTGGGGTAGATCATGGCATGGAGACCCAGTTGGGAGTGCCTCTCTCTCACTCTCCTCTCTCTCTCAGAAGAAATGAATAAACTTTTTGTTAAATTATGGTAAAAATGGCATATTTTAGAATAGAATGTGAAATTTACAATTTTTTTCTTTACTATAGGGTACATGTGCTCACAAGCAATAGAGACAGAGACAGAGAGAAAGAGAGAAGGGAAGTTAAAAAGCTCCCCCCAAGGGGGATGGCCACGCTGCAATCCCTTCTCCTCCTCCATGCTCCTCTTGGGATTTCTGGTACATATCCACACATGTGTGGCATGTTTTTAAGCCACTGGGTCCAGGACTTGAACCACACAGTCAGCCATGTGGGATCGAGCCACCTTAGCCTCCATGCCATCTGTTGGCCCCACAAACTTTTTAAATCATCAGCTAATAGACAAACCTCTGGAGATCTATAGTCTTTTCTCCTTGTATCAGGGATCTTCTGAAGAATATCTGAGTAACACCAAATCCCCATGTCAAGCACTAAAAACAGCATGGGGTAATGAGGAGATACACAAAAATTTAGTCCTTCCTCCCCCTCATGACCTGAAATCACTTAGGTGATTGAATCTCAAATAGAATGCAGACATATTCACTCACGTTATAATTTCAACCTAACTACTTCCTCTAATAAAGTAAGCAATTAACAATAATACAAATTAGAGTTGACATTTGTTTGATTCTTAGCAGTTTACAAAGACCTTTCACATACATCAGCCAACTGAATCCTCCTGACAATACTTTGTGGCTTGTAGGGCAAACGTCCTCATTTGCAGGGGGAGGAAACAGGCTTTGGAGAAGCCAATGGGCCTACAGCAACAGAAGAAGGGGAAACTGGACACTGAACCTACAGCTTTTCATGGCCAATCTTGAATCCTGTGGCAATCGGTTGCTTTAAAAAATTATTTAAATATACAAATAGCTTGAAATTTTTCACAAAGAAGAAAAACAGAGCTGGCTCCATAGAGTAGTGGTTAAACACTCTGAATTGGGAGGCAGGTTCACTATGGCCAACTGCTCTTCAATTTCAGCCCCAGCAGCTTAGAAAATACAGGAGGTTGGGACCAGCAGATGGTTGTGTTGCTGGACTCCCATGTAGTCAACCGCAGTTCAAGTCCCAGACCCAGTGGCTTGAAACTCATACCGGACACGTGTATGTGCGTGCCCAAAATCCCAAGAGGAGAACAGAGAAGGGACTGTGATGTGGCCATTCCCCCTGGGGGGTGATTTCTCGCTTTCTGTGTCTCTGTCTCTCTCTGGCAAGTGCATGCGCCCTATAGCAAAAATCTCTCTTAAAAAAAAAAAAGAAAAATACACAGGGCACATGTGCATGTGCATCCCAAATTCTGACAGGATGGAGAAATGGAGGAAGAAGGATTGTGGTGTGATCACACCCACTGGGGGGTACTTTCTCTCCTTCTCTCTCATGCAAACATACACATTCTCTGGCAATGAAGAAGGAGAGAAGGAGAAGGAAGAAAAGAAAAAAGTGTAAGTCCCTTCACACTTTCCCTTCTTACCCCTCAGCCTGCATTGAGAGGCAACCACTCTTCATTACTTCCACTGTAGTCTTTTAGTTAATATTTACATTCTGTTCTGTAGCCCCAATTAATTACTCTGTACATTGCCTATAGGTTCTTTTTTTTTTTTTAAGAGGTTTTTGCTATAGGGCGCGTGCACTCTCCAGAAAGACAGAGAGGGACAGAAAGCAAGAAATCACCCGTGTGTGTGTGTGTGGAGGGGGGGGGGGGGCACCCCCCAGGGGGGTGGCCACGCCGCAATCCCTTTTCTTCTATTCTCCTCCTGGGATCCTGGGCATGCACGCACATGTGCCTGGTGTGAGTTTAAGCCACCAGGTCCAGGACTCAAACCGCGGTCAACTACATGGGAGTCCAGCAACATAGCCATTATGCCAACTGCTGGTCCCACCTATACGTTTTTTAAGGAAGCTGAAACTCAATAGAGTTGGTAACATTAAAACTATGTAAATATTGATCACTGCAGAGCAGTGACACTTAGCATTTCCTTCCAAGTCCAATGGCATGATTCAAGTGTCACTTGGAGGAGAATGTCCTTAGTCTTGAGCCTCTTCCTATTCCTCTGACTGCTTTTTAGGTTGCTTCACATTTGGTACATGTCTTTCCTACACAATTCTGTGTTTCTTTTCTGGACTTTCTGACTACCTCTCATCTTGGGGAACCAGCCAAAAAAAAATATCACTAGAGATCTTCTAAATAGCTTCTTAGCTTATTCCATATTATCCATTCCATTCTTCAAGACTTTTCAAATTAGAATTTCACTTTATTTTATTTTTTTAGTTTTGCTATAGGATACGTGCACTCACTGAAAAGGACAGAGAAAGAAAAAAAAGAAATCTCCCCCTCCTCCCCGGGGCGAGGGCTATGCCACACCCCTTCTCCATCCTCCTCTTGGGATTTTGGGCACACACCCACACCCACACCCACACACAGTGTATTTCTCAAGTCACTGGGTCTGGGATTTGAACTGCACAGTTGGTCATGTGAAATCCAGTCACCTTAACCTCCATGCCACTTGCTGACCCTAGAATTGCTTGCTTCCTATTATCCTAAAATTGTTTCTGATCAAAGGTCTAGAATGTTTCTCCCTCTCTCTCTCTCTCTTTTCTTTCTTTCTTTCTTTCTTTCTTTCTTTCTTTCTTTCTTTCTTTCTTTCTTTCTTTCTTTCTTTCTTTCTTTCTTTCTTTCTTTCTTTCTTTCTCTTTCTTTTCTTTCTTTCTTCCCCTTCCTTCCTTCCTTCCTTCCTTCCTTCCTTCCTTCCTTCCTTCCTTCCTTCCTTCCTTCTTTCTTTCTTTCTTTCTTTCTTTCTTTCTTTCTTTCTTTCTTTC